CATGAGAGACAAGTGGACTAACATCAAGCAAAGACCAAAACACTCAGTCCTCTCCTTTCTTTGCCCATATGTGGCTGCAAACATGTGGAACATTTAGGAAACACCTAATTTCATCACTTCTTCTTTTGTTAAATACCAGCATATGAGACATATAAAACAGTCTGGAGGTTATAGTAATACTTCCTTAATTCTTTGCCATAATTTGACCCCCCTGTAGGATGTGAGTTTGGAGATGGAAGGTGCAAAGGTGGCCAGAGATTAGAAAACTTCTTGTCATGGCTTCAATAAATTTTTACATTCCTGGTACATAAGAGCTAACCTCTGCCCTATCTGTGTCTTAAACATTAATTTCTTAGCTTCTCCTCTCTCAGATGAGTGGTAGAAAGAAAAGTCTCACTTACAGGATGGGAAGGGATGTCCTAGAAACCTGRAGGTGTGGCAGACAAGCAGATGGGGATGGTGAGAAGATCACCCCTCTATGACTGGAAAGATGCTGTGGGCTGTGTAGATAGAGAYATGAAAGTATGTTTCATAAAGGCAAAGCTCTGCACACCGGCTTCACTGGTTGTGTGAGGATGGTCTGAATGAAAAAATGGACACGTTTGACTATGCATGGCCTTTCATATATCCATTTAGYTCTGCAGCCACCTGCCTCAGTGATGTCCTGCCATTACAGGATCCATGATTTCTTTAACACTAAACAAGCAGAGCTCATGTGCTCTGGGAAAAATGGCAATACATTGCATGTACCCTAACAGTATCATGAATATGACAGTGTTAAGTATTAGTACGAGTTTACTTTACTCATAAATGTGTAAATGAAGGGGAGGGAATACTAATATCTGAAACTTATCCCTACCAGACCTGATTTCTCTCTGGCAACTCCAGATTCTGTGCAAACTCTACTAATAATAGTCATTTTATTCTAGCCACAATACTGCAGCCAAGATGTCATGAGCACCTGGGAGATAGATAAGACAGACAGATTTCTTGTTTTCCACTRAGATGGTTTTGAATGCATCCTGGCAGGTCTGACTCACCCTTTTAGCTTTCCAAGGAAGACAAATTGCTTTCCAGGAGCTTCTGCTGTATACAGGTTATTTTTGAGTGCTTTCCTTAATTAAGGTTTATCTGCTGTGTGCATAATCCACAGATGAAAAGCCCTTGGGGCTTTTTTGTGTGTGAACAGAAGTTTCCCCCTGAACAACCTGTTTCTCACCCAATTCATTGTTATACATCATGGCACACATATTTTATGGATACTGTGTCCTACCCCAGAAGTAGCTGCAGGCCAATAGCCTGAAAAAAGTAATTTCAAATGCCTGGGATGCTTTACTTGGGAAGGACTGAATGGAAACAGGAGTGTGAGAGCCGCAAGGCCAGTGGCAAGAGAGATCTCTTTTCAGTCCATGGTTTTTGTCTTCGTCCAGGAATTAACGACTTTGTCACATTCACTAATGGTTTTGCAGGAATCAGGCATTGGGACTGGACCCTCAGGGTTTTGTAGCTGTGTCTAAATTGTCTTTCCARTCTCCCAATCTTGCTGCTGTTTGAGACTAGCCACAGTCCTTGGGGAGAAAGAGTCAAAGCCAGAGCATCTAAGCGTTACACAGTGCTCTAAAGGAGTACCCAGTCTTTCTCCACATTGCTGTGGCTACGGTGTAATGCTGGCATACCCAAGATCTCCTCAAACCAGCTAGTGCAGGTATGAGCAGTTGGGTTGCCACAGCAACACAGGGACTTACCACAAGCTGCAAAAGTTGTCTAAGAAACAGGATGGATGAGCCCGTGTGGAGCTCTGCACTGCCGTAGCTTGTTCAATCGTACTTTCCATTTGTTTCCACCTCCTTGTGCTGTAGTAGGCTGAAACGCTTACCCCAGATGCTGAATGACAGTGTTGGGTGAGCTGTGCAAGGCACACATGAGTGGCTGCAGCCTGCTGGTGCCTGCGTGGTCTGTGCACATAACCATCACCTGCTCTCTGACACGCTGAGACAAACATGGAAAGCCCTTCCACACTGTATCATTGAAAGCACTCAGGGAAGTGTGGACAGAACGCTCAGCTGTGCCCCTGTGGYTGGTGCAACAACCATTCTGTCCCTGGTCATGGTCAGGAGCACAAAAGCTCCTCGTGCAGAATTCTTTGTATTAATCCCATTTACATGTTCATTCCCAGCCTCCTTCACCCCCTGCACAAGCATGCTGGCACCTCGTGTCCCTCCCATCTCACTTCTGCTGCATGCAGACCCATCCACATCGCTGCACACCCCACAGCCGTGTGGGGTGGCTCTTTTCCTTGATGATYTGGGGCTCCACTCTCCTTGGCCACCGTCACTACTTTAGGAATGATGGGCACCAGTGCTAGGGTGAGGGATCTGTGCTCACTGGGGACCCAGTGGGACATAGTGGGCACCACCTTTGGCATGGCAGTGGACACCTAATTGGTTCCCTGGCCAAGCTTCGCTCCCATGTGTGCTTAACCCTATCTTGTGCTGTAGAAATCATCACTTCCAGTCTGTTTCCCAGGAATTGCTGCTACTGTGGCCCCTACTCTTTCCCCCTCTCCAGAGCCACATCTGCACATTGCAATGGCCTTTCCTCCCTTCTTTCTGCCTCACTTTTATTGAATGTGTTTGTAGGTTGTCCYCTCTCTCTGCTCATCTGTTCAGGAGCATTTCCCCACATGGCACATCTCAGTTGCAATGACCAAAGGAGTGGTTCCCTCTTCCCACAGGAGTAAATGTTTCTACCTTTCCCAGTCAGCTTGTTTTCTTTGTTTTGTGACCTAAGCCAGTGAAGGAAATCAGGTGCAGACAGCAAAGAGGACAGTGGCTCTGCTTCCAAGTAGGTCTTTTGAATGCTTCCCAGCGGGACTATTAATAGAACCGTGTCCTTTCATCAATATGCCGCTATTACTTGCCCAAGGGCTGCTAAATTATTGGGGTGAAGCGTGGTCTGTCCTGTAGATTCAGTGAAGGTCTATAAACTGAGCATTATCTCTCTGCAGCAGACCAGCATGAAGCAAAGGCTCTGTTTTGGTTCCATTTAAAGTTTTAATGCAYGATTTAAGTCTAAAAAACACGGGGAATGCCTGCTCTTTGTTGTAAGGCTGAATTTTCCCCAACAGTGAGAGAAATAATAATAGTCTGTTGAAATTGGAAAGAGTGATATTAATCTGCCTATTAATCCTTCAATGAAACCTTGAGTGGAGGGCAAAGAAAAAGCGCTTGGAGCACTTGGGGGGAGTACATCCTGTGAATATCTGTGTRTGTCTGACAGCACAGAACTGCAGTGGGGCGGGCAGCAATCCTATTCTCTGTTGGCAATCCCGAGCCAAAAAGCCATAAAAGACAAAGCACTTGGTGTCATTAGCRTCACACACCTGTGAAACAAGGTGTCATTAGAAAGAAACACTGACTTGAAGGCAGAGRTGGGTTTGGAAAGACTGTGAAAATCTCCCTTGGGAGAGTGTTTAGAAAATGAGTAGGGGAAAAGATTGGTATATTTCAAAATGAATGGGAAAATAAATCATGGGAACGGAGACAACCCAGCTGGTGCAAGTGTTTCTACACAGCCAAGATGCTCTCAGCATTGCTGACAGAGGTGATGAGGTGCTTTAAATTCCATTTACAAACCTCTGGCTGGAGGTTTGGCTGGAGACCTACATCGGTCCAGCCTTAGGATGAAATTAGGGCCACCTGGCTCCAGACCCATATCAAATGGAAAGGCTGTTTTGAAACTTGTCCTGGTTAGCAGGAGGGGAAGGTGGGACATTCTCAATAAAATCAGAACATCTGCTACACCTGAAGAAATCATAACTTATCTCCCTCTTTTCTCCTCTGCCCTCCTYCTTTGTTCTTCTTCAAAGGTTGAAAAAAATGAGGACGGAGACCAAAAGATTGAGCAAGATGGCATCAAACCAGAAGATAAAGCTCATAAGGCAGCCACCAAAATCCAGGCCAGCTTCCGCGGACACATAACAAGGAAAAAGCTCAAGGGGGAGAAGAAGGGAGATGCTCCAGCGTCTGAGACTGATGCCGCCGACAAGAAAGAGGAAGGCCCTGCCGGCGGAGCAGCTGAGAACAAAGAAAGCGAGGCTCCTGCTGCCACAGAAGCAGCCGCCGCTGACAGTGCCCAGCAGGAGGAGGGCAGCAAAGACAGCAGCGCGCCAGCGGAGGAGAAAAAAGGAGACGGAGCCGCCGACACGGGCTCAGAGAAGCCAGCCCCACAGGCTGCCACTCCTGCTGCCTCCTCGGAGGAAAAGCCCACCGCTGCCCCCGAAAGGGAAAGTGCCACTAAAGCTTCCACTGATAACTCGCCGTCCTTGAAGGCTGACGAAGCCCAAGACAAAGAGGAGCCTAAACAAGCCGACGTGCCTGCTGCTGACACCACTGCCACCGCCACCCCTGCCGCAGAGGATGCTACTGCCAAGGCAACAGCGCAACCCCAAATGGAGACAGTGGAGAGCAGCCAAACCGAAGAGAAGACAGGTGAGTGAATGCCTCGCTAGGGAACGGGCCTCTCCAGAAATGGGTACTTCCCTTGGTCTCCTGGGAGCAAGAGATGGATTGGATCGACAGCTAACAAGGGAATTCCTTGCTAGTTTTTAGGGGTGGGGGAGATTGATTTCTTGCTTAACACCCTCTTTCCTTCTTCCAATCAGCTTTTGGAAATACTGCAGCTCCTGCTGAGGTTYCTGTCCCTCTAGATGGGGGTGCCATCAGCCCTTTTTTCCATGGTGGCAGGRGAGTATCTGCCAGCTGGGAGGCTTGGGAGGAACCTGGGAGAGGTCCCCAAACTCTGCATATGCTAAAGATAGTGATGAACCTTCTGAATCACACCAGCACAGAGAGCTCCAGTGGGGCAACTTGACCAGGTCACTGGAGGCTTCCAACAGGAAAATCTCACAAGACAAAAGCTCTCATACTGCAGGAGATCTTGCTGGTGCATTGGTCATGGAGTCAAAAAGGGTATTTAATCCATGTGTATGGATGAGATTCTTAATACAAACATGTCCTAATCAGGAACATCTTATTATCAGCAGTGCTTATCGTTTCATTGACCCCTGTGTTTGCAGGGTCTCCACTTGGAGTACCCCATGGCAGCCAATCTAGTATGAAGCTTTTAGACATGTCAGCTGATTCAGCTGTGGATAGTGGGAAAATCAGGTAGGGAAAGAGAAGATTGAGGGCCCTGACAGCTCAGTGAGCAAGGACAGAAGAGAGGGTTGAATACCTGGAGTCACTCTAGGAGGCGTTTTCAATTCCTCACTGTTGACTGAGTGCAAGTCTGTTTAACTCATTCCCCTGGGAAGGAATGAAAAGTTTTGAGAGGCAAAAGAGGACATTTTTTGACAAAGGTATAATGTTTAGACC